CAAAGCAACATGCACAGGGCCTGCATGAGTGTGCACCAGGCCCTCTGTGTATATTATGATTTCCAATTTGGTGTTTTTGTGGGATCCCTGAGTATGTCTCTAGATCTTTTGTCTTCTCTCGAACTCTTTTCCTTCTGTTTGTCTTGTCCAATTCCAATGTTTATATATTTTTTATTTTTATACTATATTTTGTTATTATCTTTGAAAATCCTGGTTTTTTTTTTCTAATGAGAGACAGAAAGGGAGTAGATCTGATTGGAGAAGTAGGAAGGAACTGGGAGGGATAGAAGGAGAGTAAACTGCAATAAAGATATATTACGTAAGAAAAAAGTCTATTTTTAACAAAGGGAAAAAATTACATTTTATTTTTAAAAAAGAGAGAGAAAGAAAGTGAACAATTGTGGAAGGCCCCTAAAGTTGACCTCTGGCTTCTAAACATACACATACACACACACACACACACACACACACACACACACACACACACACGCACACATGCACACACATGCACACACACGCACACACACACGCACACATGCACACACATGCACACATGCACACACACGCACACACACGCACACATGCACACAAATGCACACACGCACACACATGCACACTTGCACACACACGCACACGCACACACGCACACATGCACACATGCACACACACACGCACACATGCACACATGCACACATACACATATGCACATACTACACCCAGTCATATACACATATAAACAAAAGAAAAAAATTTAATCTTTGTAGTTTATAAAAATACTTAGTTCGAAAAATCACAGAGGTTTATTGAATACTTAATACTCTTAACTTAGTAACTAAGTGTCTTAGTCATGAATCAAAATTTATTTCTTTCACAATGTTTTCACGTTGAGTCCAACAAGTTTTTCTCGACATCAATCATCTCTTTGACTTTCAGTTCCTCCTCCCTAACACTCCCTTTACCTTCTGTCTTCTGAGGCATGCATTAGTTCCTGACTCAGTCCCCAGAACCCACATACAGTCTGGACATGGGGCTAGAGAGATGGCTTAGCAGGTGAGAGCACTGGCTGCTCTTCCAGAGAACAGGGCTTTGACTCTTAGCACCTACATGGTGGCTCACAACCACCTGTAACTCCAGTTGCAAGAGGTCTTCTGGCCTCTGTAGGCACCAGATACATGTGTGGTAGAAACACACATGTAGGCAACATACCCATGCAAATAAAATAAAATAAACAACTCTCAAAGAAATGTAAAAATATTGGCTATTGTAAGTACTTGTAAGCCTAACACTGGGGAGGTGGAGACAGGTAGACTTTCTTGGTATTTCTGCCTAGACAGTCCAACCCTGTTCTCAGCGAGAGATCTAGTACCATAAACCAAGGTGGGCATCACTGGAGGAACAACACTCAGAGTTAACTGCTCCCATCCACATACATACATCTTTGCACACACACATTCTTCTGCACACACACACACACACACACACACACACACACACACACAGTGTGACAGTGATCAGGTATCTTCCCATTCATCTGAAGGTATATGGATTAGCATACAGTCTTATTATTCAAACATGATGGTTCAGCCTACCAGTCCTGTTGGCTGCTTCTTAAACTCCTGGGGAGGAACAGCTGAATTATTTTCATGATTCTCTGTGGGTCAAACAGATTCCTTCTTAGTACTGAACTTCCCTGCTAGAGAATTAAGGTTCAGTCAGTTCTGAGAGCCTGTTTCATCTTACAGAGTGACAGTCTTGAACTGGTAAGCTCATCAATTCACTTGGTTTTCCTACTTATCTTTTATAATTAGTGCACACTGTCTTGCTTCTACATTGACAATAGCAGCCACGGTGTTAAAAGTCTGTCATTTGGAGTTGAGGAATTCAGGCAGAGGGCTCCACCTCTGCCACTGAGTTTGAATCTGAGCATCATTTAGCCTCATGGGCTTCAGATGCTAGATCTGTAAAATTGACTGATAGTCATTTATTCATTTATTTCAAGGAGCCAATAACTAATCAATTATGCCCTTCTGTCAAAATGTGAATATAACTTAGGTTCCATATCCAGAAAAAAATGCCACAGTGCCAAGAATCTCTGATTTTTTTTAGTATGTTACTCAGTTATTGTTTTTCCCATGTCAAAACTTTAGACTTCTAAGGATTAAAATTTTTTGAATCTTTCAACTGTCAGCTTTATTTAAAAATACAGATATTTTTAAATGTTGGATTTTAAGCATCATATAACAAAGAAATATACATCAAATTAGTAACTCAAAGATACAAACACCATCCACTAATTTAATACTACAGTATTTAGGATAAATTATATTTTCATTGTATCAGCACTTAAAAAAACAAGTTATTTCTAACATGCTGCTATAATTAAAATTAAAACAAGTTTTCAGCAGCAAACTCAGTCTTGCTTAAAACAAAGATAAAACTGATGGTGAATTGATGCAAACATTCCACAAAAAAAAAAAAACCCACTTCTTGTGAATTCTTACACTTATCCAATATAACTTTATTTTTCACAGAGACATTGCAGGCCCTGTGACTGCAGCCAGGCTTTCCAGGTTTACATTAGGCTACTGTAAACAAGCTCCTGGTTAGAGAATGGATTTGGGATGTGATAACATAAGGTAATTTGTCAACCTTCAGGGACAATGAAATGATTTTTTCCTTAATAGTTATATATTAGAACAGAAATGAGGAGCAAAGTATTTTGAAATTTGCATGTATCATCTAGTTGAAACTTCTATCAAGGTCAAATCTGAAGAACAAACCTGGCATGTCTTAGTCTTACAGAGCACTTCCAGTGCATACTTGCATTTTTTCAAGGTTGTTACTTAGACCGTAGGGATTTAAGAAATATTGCTTACTTTTAAAACAAGAGTAAGTGCTTCTTTTATATTGAATATAGTTAAAATATTTGGCAGGTAAAAGCATCACATTTTCAAATACTCCTGAGAAAATAATAAGGACAAAAACAGCTTTCTATGCTTTTTTAAGAACTCTTTTTTCAGACTGTCTATAGAGAATAACACAAAATACCACAGTTAATGAGAAAACTAAGCAACTACTTTCCTCTTACACCAAATGAGAAAAAAAATTTAATGACCTATCAACTACAATGGAAAATGTGGCTCAAAATTTAATGGAGCATAGCATCTTTGCATGAAAGATCAAGTTTGATTACATACTTTAAAAGTACCCATGGTGACATTATGAATGCATTTAGTTTTAACATCTTTCTCAGAAAAAAAAAAAGTTTCAGTTTTTTCATAACAAACAAAACAGTGGTTACGAAGTCCAGCGCCACCAAGCAACCTTCATTCTGTCCCATACTGCTAAGAATGAATCAAAGGCAGGACGCACATCCAGGATGGTGAACTGGTAGTCCTTGTTAACCTCACCACCATCATAGTAATCAATGACATACCTAACTTCTGTGCCACAACGGTGGATGATCCAGTCATGCCTGTCGAAAGGCAACTCATACCCCATCCAGGAACGAATTCTTGCCCTGGGTGAATATTTTCTGGCTTTGCCTCCAAATCGGACCAATGATGGGCCACAAGGACACTCATGAGCATGAAGAGCTTCCCACTTCAAAATCTCCTTCCAAGCCTGCTCATTATTCTGATTGTGAATTCTAATGATATACATATCTTTCTGACTAATATCATCATCCTTCCACTTCCACCCTTTCCGTAGCATGGCATTCCAAAACATCTGTTCAGAAGGTTAAACCCACTTTTTCTCGGAGTCTGCTCTTGGAATAGATGACTCCTCTCTTGAGGTAGACAAAGTAAACGGCTGCCCTGGGGATGGCGTCTGATTAGGCGGTGGCATCAGGTTTGAAGGATCTAGGTTCTCCTTATTCTTAGCTGCAGCACCAGTAACAGGGCACTCCACGTACTCATAGGCCCGATCTTGGTGGGCAGGCACAGAGTGTGCTCTGCTCTCACGGTTGGATCAGATGCTACTGCAGTCATGGGACAACCTTTCCTCCTCCCGGCTTCATGCATCGGGCATCCTGAAGGCGGTGAAGGGGGCTGAATATCTGAACCGTTTGAGGTGTTCACAGCAGCAGCAGGAGTAGATGTGGAGGAACCCATGGCTGGAACCACAGGGATGACTCCTCGTCTCAAATTTCCACCTCAGTCTCCCCTCGGACTGGCCCCGGCGGCCACTGCGTCGAACCGCCAAGCCGGATACTCACGGCAGCGACCAACCGCCGCTGCCGCAGCGGCCGACTGCTCCTCCTCTTTACCCCAAAGGGGGTCACCGCTCTAAGGATTAAAATTTAAGATTTGTTTTCGTTACGTGTCCGTATGTGTGTAGATGGATATGCATGTGTGGATGCAGTTACACACTGAGGAGGGAGGACTGGAGGCTCCCTTGAGATGCAGTTACACACTGAGGAGGGAGGACTGGAGGCTCCCTTGAGATGCAGTTACACACTGAGGAGGGAGGACTGGAGGCTCCCTTGAGATGCAGTTACACACTGAGGAGGGAGGACTGGAGGCTCCCTTGAGATGCAGGTGCTGATATGGTGAACCACCAGACATGGGTACTGGGAACCAAACTCAGGTTCCTTGGATCCTCTGGAGCAATGGGACAAATCATCTCTGCTGTGCAGGCATGCTTTTGCCAAGATGGGCATTCGGAGGACAGAGAACTTTCGGTAGTCAATTCTGGGCATTGAACTTAGGTCATCAATGTTGCCTGACAAGGGATTTTATTAACTGAACAATATTGCCTTAGCTGTCTGTCTTCTATCAATCATTTATCACCTATCTATCTGCTACATTGTCTTTTTTTGAGACAGGGTCTTGCTATGTACCCTAGATTAGCCTACATTTTGCCATCCTCCAACCTCCATGTCCTCCTTCCCATACTGGGATTATAGGGTTGGCATCAAACTCTTTCTAGTAACAAGTAAATCAAATATTTTTAGAGTAAAGAGGTACTTAAAATGCAAATTAATCAATGTTTTCCAGGTTATGAAGACACAAACATCTATGTAACAACTTTGCAGCAGATAAAAACCGTGGCAGAACAGGTGGGACGTGGTAATGAGAATCCTGCACCTGCCCAGACAGCCAAGCCTACCACGATGTCTTTGCCTCACAACAACACGGGTGCACTGGCGGGGCCCAGAGAGCCCTACTATGACTCTGGATTCCGGAGGACGATGTCTCACAGAGATGTCCGGGCCGAGCTGTTTCTGAGAAGCTTCCTCACATGGTCGGACACTATAGAAATGATGCGTGTGGCTGGGCTCCCACAGGTGTACAGCTCGGGCTGGGTGTACCCGGTCTACATATTCAGTTTTATATCTCTCCTTCGAATGGTCTTCACACCTAAGAACCCTCTTCTCGGCTTCCTGGGGGTCCTGCTGCAGGATTTTCCCTTTATTTTCCTTAGACTCAGCTTAATCGTTACCCTGGGGACGATCACGCCAGTACTGGGCCTTTGTAAAAACATCCTAGTGACTATCACCTATATCTACTTCAATCATTTAACCAAGCTCAGGCCTTTCTCAGCCTTCGAAACCTCCCCGTTTTAAGCAGCCAATGTTAAGAGTCAGCCCTCTTGATTGTAAAGTCTTTCCAGGCATAAGCTCTTGCACCATATAGAATTAACCACTTCCAGACCCTAAATATATCTAAATGGTGCTACATTGAAGCAAAGTCATATTCTTCCGAATTGCCTCTTCCGGGCTTCTAGAAACCTTAGTCGTTGATTTTAGTCATGTCTGTCCCACGTTTTGCTAGAAATAACCCCTCAATAAAGCCTTTTTAAGTGGTGGGAACCGTGAGCTAGCTTAAGAATGAGGTTTTTATCACATGTACATTGAAGAACATTTTACGGCTTAATATGGCTTAATTAACTGAAATTATTTAAAAACATAACCTGAAGATATTGAATAGACTTTAGAGTTTGCTTGAAAATCTGAAAACTGTAGCTTTAGGGTCTCCTTCAAAACATTCAATTACTCTGACTGCTCCCCCCCCCCCCCCCCGTGTGTTTTGTTTTCAGCAGTGAGGACTGAACCAGGGCCCTGGGCACACTATTTTAGCACTCTACCAATGAGCTGCATTTTTAGTCTTAGAAATACATTATTTTTTTGCCCTACTACAGTGACCTCTATTCAACTCATTGTGTAAAAAAGCAAAACAAACAAACAAACAAACAAACAAAAAACCTACAGAAAACAGGGGACTTCAGCTGATGCCAGCATAGCAGGGCTTCATTAAGGCCTCTCAGGCTGGTATGCAGGGCAGTGCTTCTGTGTTGAGTGTAATGGAGACAAGGTGCACTGTGATTCCTAGATAAAGTTTATAATGGAAACCATAAACCAAAGACAAAGTGTAAACAGGTAATATTTATGGAATTTGATGCCGTCATAAAAAAATATCCAGTACAAGCCATATTGAAAATGATAGCTTGAACTTAGCGCGATGGTAAAGGTGTGTTATCTTGCACTAGGTCATGAATATCTTTGTGCTTTATGATCATGATACAGTCATGAGCTCTGCATATGTTGTGCTGGCACAGATGTCGTAGCCACAGCAGAGGGTCTCGGTTACGAGAGGGTTGTAAGAGGGTTATGTGTGCAGGGCAACGACTCATGTCACCAGCTCCTCCTTGATCCGTGGAAACAAGAAGCTTATGAATACATGGATAATCTGAGTATTCCTGGCCTCTGTACTGAGGTCCATGGTCACTTTCTCCAGAGTCTCATGGTTATCACACTGCAGAACAAGTCTACGTGTAATTATTAAGCCTTGCTTGCCCTTTCTGCCATTTGGGGCTGGTTCCTTGAGTGCTATCCTTGAATAGATGAACACAATATAAATACTGCTGTAACAGTTTTGGGTGATTGGAGGATTTGGAACACTCTCAACACAGTGTTTGGTAAACAATAACACCTTAGTGGATGCTAAGCCACATTCCTGCCCACCCTTTGGGAATAATAGTTTATGCCCAGCGTTTGTGAGACATAACATGTAAAATCTTAAGGTTACCCTGACTACTAGTTCTTTTTAAACAGTTACTCTTGTAGTCAGTTGTGAATGATCTGTTAAATATTTAGATGGAAGTGAGCGTGAGAATTCATTCTTCCATTTGAACAGAACTTCTATGAGTTTTCAAATAACCCAGACTATAATACTTTGTTCCTTTCTTTTATTTTCATGTTCTATTTTGGAGTCAGGGTCTCAGTACGTAACCCAGGCTGTTCTGAACTCACTGTGTAGCTCAGCTTATAGGAACTCTCCCCACCCTCCTGCCTCCACCTCCCCAATGCTAGAATTGCAAGTATGTGCCATCCACCCAACACAGGGTCTTTTTATTTTGCATTGCTGAGGGTTAAACACAGCCTCTCCTGCTCCCCAGTACCATATAAGCCATCGGTAACTAAGCCAAACCCCTAGACTGCACTTTTTGTTTTTGAAAGCATTTGATTATTTATTTACTTTTCTTGGTTCCTCATTAACTTGTCACACGTGTAAGAGAAAACCTGAGAGCAACATGGTTAGCCACACCTCTATCTCCACCAATATTTCTAACATAAAATGCATACTGTATATCTTTTAAAAGTAAGAGAGGCCTATAACCAAGTGACTAATTTACAATATCCATAAATGTGAAACTCATTATATCAATGTATATATCTTTAATTTGTAAAAATACAGTGAATGGCACTCAGTATACTCTGAAGTATTCCGTGAGCTTAACCTGCATTTTGTATCTGACAGCTGAACATGAATACGCCTGATATCTGGGGGTGTTTGCAATCCTTGATACAGATAATGAAGGCATGTACAACAGATCATGTAAGGCAGGAAAAGCCGTGAATCTCTAACCTAACTGAGTGTATAGATGTTTATAAAGTTTAATGGTATTTAAGAGATATTATAAGAAATTATGCTAATATATTATTGATAGTTCTACACTATGTAATTAAAACCTATATTACTAAATGATACTGTAATTTTCATAGCTTTTATAGTTGTTGGTATTAAGGTTTTGTGTCCGAATAAAAAGCTTAATTTCTGCTGTCAAGTGTGAATGCCAGATCTGTACTAGACTATATAGTATTTTACTCCAGATAAAACCTGGGGCTGCATGATAATTATGTCTTCATCAAATGTCAACTCCATATAAGCTTAATTGTTGAGACGCATAAAAATGCATCTACGACTCAACTAATACCATCTAACTGTTTTTATAAAGACGTAATTTTTTGGTGCCTTTTCTTTCTGTAAGTTGATGTTTACATTTACAGTGTGTTAGTATTACAACCTGAGCTGTCCAGTAAGCACTCTACTCACTGAGTGGCCTTTACTCAGTGCAAGCATGGAAAGAGGGAAAAAGCAGCATGCTGTGTGGGGGACATGGGCTGTGTGCAGACACTTGCTGTCTGTGCAGACATGGGCTGTGCAAGACACGTGCTGTGTGTGCAGACATGGGCTGTGCAAGACACTTGCTGTGTGTGCAGACATGGCATGCAAGACACTTGCTCTGTGCAGAAAATGGCTGTGCAGAAACTTGCTGTGCGTTGACATGGCTTGTGTGGAGGACACTTGCTGTGTGCAGACACAGGCTGTGCGGAGACACTTGCTTTGTGCGGGACACAGGTTGTCCAGAGACACTTTGTGCGAGGGGGACATGGGCTGTGTGAGGAGGACACACATTGCTATGTGGAGGACACAGGCTGTTCGAGACATTTGCTGTGTGTGCAGACACGGGTTGTGTGGAACAAGACTTGTTAGTGAATGCCCCAACAGCTTTTTCTTCCTTATAAGCATTAATAGTATGTTGACTTGGATCTAAAAAAAAAAAACAAAAATAAACAAAAACAAAACCCAAGAACTTATGTCTAGTTCCCTATGCCCTTAGAGGAAACAATAATTAACAAAAAAAGAAAAAGTATAATCCATGGAACAAAAGTGTTTTTTAAACCATTTTTAATCTTTAAATTTTAATTATTTGTTTATTTATCTATAGACAGGATCTAACTATGTATGGCTTTCCTGGGACTTGTTAGATAGTACAGGCTGTCCTCAAACCAGCATTGATCCTTCTGCCTCTGTCTCACCAGTACTAGGAAGGCTGCAGGTGTACGCCACCATGCCCGGTTCTTTTTACCTTTTAATTAAAATCCTATGACTAAGCGACTCTTTTGTTGTGAGGTTTGCTTCATTACAGGAGGGTGTGTTTACTTGTCCTTCAGCTTCCTGGCAGTCTGCTTCCCACCCTTCTTTTCAGCTGTGTAGTCACGTGGTCCAAACAGGGAGGCAGCAAAGTCAGGATGGGAGGAGGTGGACAAACAAAGGCATAGACACGTGAGCACACAGGGACAAGTCTGGCCACCCTCTGAAAATACTCCAGGACCATACAGAAGGCCTCAGTTCATGAACCTGACATCCCGGAACTCCTGTGTGTATGCGTCATGTCAGCCACGTGTGGTGGTCTTGACCTAACAGACAGCTCCCTTTCACACCAAGCCTGGCTCAGTTCCTTTGGAAGTGAAACCAGAGCACTTGTGAATAATAATTCTAGGAATTTTCTAGACCAATAAAGGTTGACTAATTATAATAGCTTATGGGTATATTACTACGTCTGTCTTAAACATTTTCATTTTTGTAATGTGTATGTATTTATCATATTGATGCAGAATGGCATGCCATGCCATGTGTATGAAGATGTGAGGACAACTTCCAGCAGTTCCTTCTCTCCTTCCATGTTGTGGGTCCTGGGAAATGAACCCAGATCGTCAGCTTAGTGGCCAGCATTATCACCTGATGGGCCATTTCTCCAACCCCATTCCTCTGAAGAGAATTCTTTTTAGATTTTATTTTTAATAGTGCACGTGTGTGTCTGAGTGTGTGTGTGTGCTTATGTCCCCCCACAAACGTGTGAGTGCAGTTGCCAGAGGGTTCCAGAAGAGGGTATTAGATTCCCTGCTGCGGAATTACACGTGGTTGTAGTCTGCTGCCTGACATGGCACTGGGACCTGAACACAGGTCCTCTGTAAGGGCCGTATGCACTCTTAACCACAGAGTCATCTCTTCAGCCCCAGGTCTGAAGATAATCATTCTGAAAATTTTATTAGCTCACTCACTCAACTAGCCTGAAAATCTATCATAGGCCAGATGAAACGTTTATGGTTTGTGTGAACAAACAATCCACATGATCTGGAAAACTACGTCAAAAAGTAATAATTAATTAACATTAATTTAGGGATAATGTTTGATATGCATGTACATGAAGTTGGCATTTATACTTATATAAATTTTAATTTTCTAAATTGTGCTTTTATAAAACTCACAATTTTCTTTATATTGAGTTGTGAATATTAATGGATGGTTTTCAGAAATACCTTCTTTTTCAGCACTTTCTTTTATTTATTTATTTTTTTAGACAGGATCTTACTATGTAGCCTATGCTGACCTTAAACTCATGATCTTCTTGAGTCAGTATTTACTATGCTGGGTGATTGCTGGCTTAGATTATCACCACACTTGGATTATTATTATTTTTACAAGTTCATTTTAGATGCTATAAAGCATCTGTACTATAGGGCATGTGAATGGATAAAATCTATATTCAAATTGTTAAAAATTACAGATAGAGTTATGATGTGGGATTCCCCTCTGTATGCTGTGAATAAAGCATTGGTGAATAAAAGAACTGGGTTGGCCTGATAGGGTAGAAGAGATCTACGCTGGGAGAATTAGGCTGAATGCTGGGAGAAGGAAGGCGAGTTTAGGGAGAAGCCATGTAGCCCTGCTGGAGCCAGATGGAACTTTACCTGGTAAGCTACAGCCATGGGCAATACACAGATTACTAAAAATGGTTAAATTAGTATGTAAGAGCTAGCCAATAAGAAGCTAGAGCTAATGTGCCAAGCAGTGATTTAATTGATATAGTATCTGTGTGATTATTTCAGGGCTGAGCAGCTGGGAACCAACAAGTGGTTTCCTTTCAACAGAGTTATACATTTGCTCAGTGTCTAAGTAATAATCCAGGATTTTTGTGTCTCAACATCCCACATATAAAAATCAAATGTCAAAGAAAAGAAAAAGTTATAAGCCGGGCGGTGGTGGCGCACGCCTTTAATCCCAGCACTCGGGAGGCAGAGGCAGGCGGATCTCTGTGAGTTCGAGGCCAGCCTGGTCTACAAGAGCTAGTTCCAGGACAGGAACCAAAAGCTATGGAGAAACCCTGTCTCGAAAATCCAAAAATGAAAAAATAAAAATCAAATGTCACTTCTAGATTAAAAATGCATTCTGTAGCTGATTCTTAATTTTTCACATATTTCACATATATTTCATAGTTAAATAGCCTTCTAATTACATTACTTTGTAGAGCTGAATGTGTGTATCGTATTCCTGAGGTAGGAAGACCTAATTTAAATGTGGGCAGCACCATTCCATTGGTTGGGGTCCCAGGCTACATTATAAGGCCTCTCACAAATAAGAGAGAGAGCACCAGTGTTCATCTCTTTCTGCTTCCCAACTGCAGAAGCAATGTGACCAAGTACTTCATGCTCCTGCAGTCCTGGCTTCTCCATACCATCTGACCAGGTACTTCAGCAAGATGGACTGCACCATCTGACCAGGTACTTCATGCTCCTGCAGTCATGGCTTCTCTATCATGCTGGACTGCACTATCTGACCAGGTACTTACTTCATGTTCCTGCTGTCATGGCTTCTCCATCATGCTGGACTGCACCATCAAACTGTGAGCTGAAATTAGCTCTTCTTCCTTAAGTGCTTTGTCAGGTATTTTGCCACAAGGATGAGAAGAGCAACTGAGACAAGCGCCTGCCCTTCCAATCGACTGGAACCTATCAACATAAAGGCAGGACCCATCGCTGTATAAGGGCTTTGTCTTTCTGTCTCCAAATGCTCACATGGCCATTAACATCTCAGGCAATAAAGCATTTTAACATGAAGGTGTGTGTGTTTTACAGACACGATGCTATTACACACTTATTGGTATATATATTCTGCAGTCATGATTCCTGCATATGGGAAAATTTTAAGGATGTGTAACTGGCTTTATTTCAGCAGTCATTTTGTTGTTAAGGTTTGGGAATGAATCTCATTCTGCTTAATACATGGCTGAATCAGGTTACCAAAGAATTTGTTGAGCTAATTTTCTGGAAACCATTTCAAAGCAAAGCAGACACCAACTTCACTTTATGTGGAATCCAGTGGGTGTGAGGTGGTTGGTGCTTGAGAAGGTCTGGGAGGAAATGAAAGTTTAGCAATTACCTTGCCAATTACAAAAGAGGATTTCCTTTACTGTTAGCTTGAGGAAGGTCTAGACAAGCAGCCACCATCATTAATAACTAGCCACAAAAACAGAATTCAAATAGTTCAAAAATACAAAGAGGATGTCAAAGGTTGGGTTTTAAAAATTGTGCTAAAACATATACATAACATAAAATGTATCGCAGTACCATTTTAAACCATACAACGGAGAGGAGTTGAGTTTACTTGCAGTGTTGCTTAACTATTAACGACAGTGTTTTCATGAATCCCATCCTCATCGACTGTTTCTATAAATCCAAAGTTAACTCTTTGTTTTCTCCCACTTCTAGCTTTTCTGCTTCTTCGCAATCTCCATTCTTTCAGTCCCCATAAGTTTTCCTATTTTATGCATCACAAGTAATTGGATTTTTACAATATTTGTCTCTGGATGTCCCAGTTATTTCACTGTAACTACACATCTAAAGGTTGTCCATAAGGTAGCAGGTATTAGAATTCCTCTCTTGTGGCTGTATAAGGTCCCATTATATGTATCTAACACGTTTTGTTTATGTATTAATTTTCCTGGTAGACACCTGGGTTACTTCTGTCTTTTGGCTTTTATAAATCATACAGCTATCAATGTTACAAAGATCTGTTTTCAGTTCGTTTATAGATATAATAAAAGTAGAACTGATGAATCAGGACAGTTCTCCATTTCACCCATTCAGCCACTGCCAAGCTGTTTTCCACATGGACTGTTCCGCTTAATTCTCTCATTGAGCAAGGGTCCCAGTTTTACCCCGTCCTC